AACTTCTGACCAAGAATTAAACAATACGATTAAATCTAACAATCACCCTCCTAATTGTTGATTGTTCACACCCTTCACAATAATGTTGGTTCATCATCATCTTCAATCAAATTTGCAATTTCTTCCTTTTGATCCCATTTTGGACATTCGTTCAAAAAATGTCCTAACTCATTGCACTTGAAACACTTAATGTGACTCTTATCCCGCTGAAACCGACCACCATCCTGACCTTTCCCGGACCCCCGACCTCTACCTCGTCCACGTCCAAAGTCTTCTCGGTTTGAGCTCCAGCAACCACAATGCTCACATTTGTGCTCCTGAACCTTCTCTTTTCCATCACATTTAGTGAATAATAGTTTACCATGTGTATCTCCTTCTTCAGTTGGCTTTCTGATGCGTTCCTCGAATGCTTTCAATCTTCCCACCGCTTCTTGGAACGGCATTGTGTTAATGTCACAAAACTGTTCAATTGCAGCAACGATCTGTATGAACTTTTCAGGCACAGAACCCAAAAGCTTTCGAACCAATCTTTTGTCTTCAAATGCAGACCCAAGATTGTTTGCTTGTGTTGCAAGTTGACTAATTTTACGAGCAGAATCATCAAGTGACTCATTGTTCTTCATCTTTAGAGTCTCAAAATCTATTTCAAGTGTCAATAATCGCACCGCTTTAACCCTGTTAACACCAACGAAGCGAGTCTTCAAAGCATCCCAAATTTCTTTTGCTTCAGTAAACTGAGCAACTTGTAGTACGATCTCTTCTGGAAAAGCTTGAAAAGATATGCTATTGCCATATTGTTCTTCTTTGGATCGATTTTTGTTCCTGGTTCGATCACCTCCCAAATCCCATTAACATTAAAAATTGCTTTGGCCTTCACGGCCCAAATAGTGTAATTTGTAGCAGTTAGAATTGGAACCTGAAAAGATAGTGAACTATTTCCCCTGGTAGTCACAATCTGTCTGTTGTCTTCCATTGCACGACTTTAATTCCTTTGACAATTTTCACAAAAATCTTAGACTTTGATTACTTCCTGGGTCGTAAACTACCTGCAATCGACCATCAACCTGAAAACAAGCCCCTTCATTTCTCTCTTCCAAGCCACTAAACGAAAGCTACCCCACTGATTTGATTTTCCCGCACTGTTTGGTTGGAATGCTTCTGCCAAAGGAAAAAACTAGCCACTTGCTATTCTTGTCCTAGGCGAGGAAGAATCTTGTCGAAGATTTTTGATTTATTGTCAAGGAAGTCTCTAATGCTCCGTTATACGATCCGGAAAATCTCCCTTTTTTTGCTGCTGATCGCACACGCTCTGATACCAATTGTTAGAAAAATGATAGGAAGAACAAATCAAAACAAATCAAATGCAGAATAGAATTCTGATTTTTTTATTGTGAACTACATACAGGAATTCTATGTTCCTTGAATATTTATAGACAGCAACCAACACAACTATTGGTACTAATCAACACATCTATTACTAACTAATACAACTTCCAGAAATAACTACCTATAACTTCTAGAAATAACTACCCATAACTGTCCCTTTTATTTTTAAAATTTAAATCTAAACTAACTAACTTCTGACCAGGAATTAAACAATACGATTATATCTAACAGCCAACATAAACTATATGGCAAGTCGATTATAAAATCTTGTATTGAAGCGTATCTAACTATAAGGTTGCTAATGCTTTGTCCCGGCTGCAGAAACAACAAATTGAAGGGAATAATCTCAGCATTAGGAGCAAGCAACTTTTAGCCAACATAGACTATATGGCAAGATTTAGCCAGAACGACAGAAAAAGACCTGAACTATAAAAATTAAAGGAACAAATGAGCAGCAATCCTAAGAGTCATGAAATTTTTCGGTTGAGGAGTGGATGCATCATCATTCATCAAGAAAGGAAGAGTCTTAGTACCAATTGACAAAGAGCTAAGGAAGAAGAAACTTCAAGAGTTTCATAGTCACCAAGTGCAGGCCATTAAGAAGTCGTAAGAACAATCAAGAGGATAGAACGGCTATTTACTTGGTCTGGAATGAGGAAGTTCGCTATTCGTGCAGGTATGTGACAGTTGTCAAAGGATCGAAGAAGATTCAAGAAAATCAGCAGGACTATTACTTCCCTTGGCTGTTACTGAGAAAATTTGGACTGATTTGACTATGCATTTCATTGAAGGACTTCTAAATCAAAAGGGAAGGACACTATCCATGTAGTCATTGACAAGTTAAAAAATATGGTCATTTACTTCATGTAGGTAATTAATTACTCTACAGCTAAGGATGTAGCAGTAGTTTTTGCTCAAAAGGTTATCAAACTACATGTGATTCCAAAGTCAATAACTTCTTAAAGAGATAAAGTGTTTATGAGCCACTTTTGGAAACAAAACTTCAAGCTTGTACAGAACTTAAAAGCTACTCAGCATATCACCAAGAAACAGATGGCCAAACTGCAGTAAACCAAAATGTTTTGCTTCCTATAGACCAAAATAGTGGGAGCCATTTCTAATGTGGTCTGAGTACTGGTATATACCACGTACCATACCTCCACTGGCTTTAACTCAGTTCACAAGGAATTTCCACATGCAAAAGGTTAAAGAAAGTTTGAAGGCTAGAGATTCAGCTCTGCGGGAGTTAAGAGAACAATTAGCTATCCTAACTCCAATGACCAGACTCCAGGTTCCACATCCAAAATCTATAATTTCTTCTTTTAATATATTCGTTAAGATTGTAATTTTATATGATAAGATATTTTTGGCCAAACAAATACTATGTATGTTGATATTTAATTACAACCTCCGGCCCAAAACACTTTACCCAATAAGACTTTCCGAGAGTTTACGAAACATGTTGAAATATGGAAAAGGCAAGGTTCCACATCCAAAATCTATAATTTCTTCTTTTAATATATTCGTTAAGATTGTAATTTTATATGATAAGATATTTTTTGGCTAAACAAATACTATGTATGTTGATATTTAATTCGACCTCCGGCCCAAAACACTTTACCCAATAAGACTTTCCGAGAGTTTACGAAACATGTTGAAATATGGAAAAGGCAAGGTTAGAATTTGTTTAGACGAGAGACAAACCTTATGAGCCACATCCATTGCTAAAATGGAAATAAAGCAAAAAAAAATTTGGAACGTCAAAAAGGGAAAGTGGGTGAAGTTTTTCGGATGGAAGCAATTTTTTTTGTAAAAATGACAAAATAATTAAAATATTGTGTTAAAGAACAAACTACTTTCTCTATCCCACTATTTTGGGACATGAGGGAGTGACATGAAAATCAAGTAAAAGTAGAGATTGTGTGGTAGATAATGATATTAAAAAGTAAGATAAAGAATATATGTCAACCACCCAAATGGTACCAAATAGGGTATGGGACAAAAAGAGTGGGATGGAGGGAGTATCTATTTTTGCAGATATCTAAATTATGTATATATATATATATATATATATATATATATATATATATATATATATATATATATATATATATATATATATATATATATAGGGAGCGTCTAAAATGACACCAGTTCGCTTGGGGTACCTACGGTGCCCCGTTTGTAAAAATGACGGTTCCTACCCCTCCTAACCCTCCCCCAAAACCCCCCACCCCAGCCCCCCTCCCTACCCTGGCAGTACACTGCCAGGCAGTAGGGTAGGGAGGGGGCGGGAGGGGGGCTGGGGTGGGGGTTTTGGGGGAGGGTTAGGGGGGTAGGAACCGTCACTTTTACAAACGGAGCACCGTAGGTACCCCAAACGAACTGGTGTAAGCAAATGACACCTGTAGCACTGGTGTCATTTTAGACTTACTCATATATATATATATATATATATATATATATATATATATATATATATATATATATATATATATATATTAGTTTCATAGGTATTAGGTAATTATCAAACACTTGTTGGAGTATATTTGTTTTTGTTATTCAAATGAAAATTCACAACTTTTGTACAAAGTATTATTTTTCACATGATGGTATGGAGTGGATTCCAGACTCTAATTAAAAATTAGGCAAAAAGAGCAGGCCCAATGTATTTTGGACTATTTATGGTACTTAAAAGAGTCGTAAGTTGCAGATGCCAAACTATTTGGTGATGAAAAATGGGTGGTCAGCAAGCAATTCGTACCTCCTTGCAATGATGAAGAAGAAATTGATTAAAGGCCTTCCTAGTTGATATGCTATACGTTACAGGTGGGTTGCAGACCCTGCTAGTACTAAGACTTTGGAGGCAGTAGTTTAGGGGTCAGTTTGTTTCCAGAAGACGCAAATTGGGAGCCAGTCGGCATATTGATGAAGAATTATCCAGATTTGAGCTTTGATGACAAGGCATTTCCAAAGGGGGGGTTATCATGGTTATTGGTTACAAAAGTGTAAACCCAAATCATTGTATTAGAAAATCCTAATTGATTTATGATTGTTGTCCTATCCCTAGTTAGTTTGATATTACTTAATCCAAGTATGTGCATGACTGTTTGTCCAATTGTCCTAATACTCCCGTTCCCTTTCAAGGGAGTTTAAGAAAATTGTTGAAAAGTAAAAAAGGTGTGATTACAGTTGGTTAATTAAGAGGAGAGAATTTTTTTTGCCACAAATTTATGTCCTTAAAAGGAAAGTGATGTTTTTTTGGACGGATGAAAAAGGAAAGTGAGATGTTTTTTATGGGACAGAGTGCTAGTTAGTATTAAGTGGGCTCGTCATTTGAAGACTGTTTGTCTTAGTCCTACTTAGTTCATATTCATAGAGTTGCTTGTGCCTATAAATAAGGTGCTACACTACCTCTTATTGTTTGAGAAATATAGAATATCATCTTTCAGCTTAATCACAGCCAAGCTTAATTGCTAAAACTATCAAAGTATCAGGTTGCTTAACATTTACATATAAGCATCATTGTATACAATATAAACCATCATATGACCAAGAGCCTTCATGACATTTAATGTACAAAAAATGATACCGGAATGATATGATAAACTTACGAAGCACGAAAATCGACCCCCACAGGCCTGGGAAGATGTAAGAAGGCACGAGAATGCAAATCAGTTGCAAACACTGTCTGCAAAACACTGATTATCAGACTTTTCAAAAATAATTGTTGCGTTACAAAATTGCACATACTAAGGAAACTTATGTTGGATATAGTCATTTTTACAAACGTTCCAGTAGGTCAGCCCTCCTAGGACTACTCGACCTCAATTACATTTAGCAACAGTGTTTTGAGGCTAATGATTGTCATATCCGTCTTAAACATAGTTCGTGCTAAGTGAACGTTAACCAATTAACCGCAAACCTTTGTAGGGCAAAATCCAAGAGAGATTCTAGAAGAACCCCTCTGCACTACACAAGCGCAAAACCCTAATACCGAGCGCTGAGTGGACACAAGGGGCTGCACCACCCAGTGGTACCAGCAGGTCAAGCGAGGCATGGTGTTGATCCCCATAAGGCCAACAACCCATTCAATGAATCAACTCTCCTTATTTAACTAAGGTGAGGCGATAAAATCAAACTAGGAGGTCACTCTACCAACATAAATAACCGTTACCATCTCAAGAAGAGAATTTTACCGAAAGATATTGATATAGTCCATCCAAAAATTGAGGCTTCAAGTAAACTCCGCTAGTTATGTATGAAGCCTGTTATTAACCAGTACACATATTTATTGTGATGAAACGGTAGGGCTTCCATCTAAATTATACTAGAAGAAGATGAAGTTACATAAATGTAAAAAATATAGATACCTGCTGCAGGAAAGCGGAATGTTGGGCCCCTATGGCACATGAATCTATTGGTACCTACAAAAGGATTTTTTTATATCATGTTTCTGAAAGTAACAGCCTCCTAAGGGTAGAGATAAGGTCTCTGTACATCTTGACCTCCCAAACTTTAGGGTCTAGAGTGGGATATACTGAGTTTGTTTGGTGTGATCTACAGTTATAAACTTATTCCATAGTTTAATTAAATGCATCATAATTAACATGATAGAAACATTGTAATGTCTTCACAAAATTAATGACAGTTTAATAACATTTGATCGAATGAGACTTCAAAACATCTCTTTCTTGGGATGGAGATATATTTAACGCTCCCTCTCTCCATTTTACCTGCTTTTTTATAAGCATGCCTAAATTATACTATGAACTGAATTTTACATTGGGATGGGCAGACTACCACATACATAATATCATATTCTCTTCATTCATAACTTTTAGCTTGGAGAAAAATAAAGCGAATCAATTTACCATTGAGCGTTGAGCAGAGAAAATTGAGTTCATGATGGCCACATATCTGCAGAGAAGATCACTTTAGCATAAAAAGTAGAGCAGCGCAAGTGTTAACTGCAAAATACACAACAAATCACATACTGTATCAACAAATACACAACAAATCCATGGAGACACAGTATCTGCCATCATTGAGACTAGCAATTCAGAAACCCCAAGAAAAAAGGTCTAACACGTCAATAAACTAAAAAGCTTTTTAAATTTTTTAAAAATATTTTGGGTTAGAGGGAGTTATTTGTGAGGACATGACCTCAAATACGAGTTCCTGGTGACATCATATTAAGATTGCAGAGTCCATTAAGTGTCATGTGTGTGCTAGTGTATTCTGTGTGCACGTGGGGGGGGGGGGGGGGGGGGGG